CCTCCCAAGTGCGATTTCCGTTGGCTGGGCCAGAGTGCGTAAGGAGGATGCAGACGAGCTCGTTCACGCCAGTGGATGGCTCCTGGCTGTCGACTTCCTCACCCTCAAAGAGCACACTCTGATTTTGCCCAGGCCAGGTGCTCCCTCCACCACAGCTGTAGGTTGATAGGAGGGGCGCCTCTGTGAAGTGGTCACAAAGAGAATGGGGCCCAAGGCCCTGCGGGTCGGGCCGGGTGCCCAGGCTGCCGTCAGCCCTGCTGTTATTCCGGTGTGGTGGGGCCCGCAGGTCAGGGCTTGGCCACCACCAAGCTTGTTCCTTGCAGCCCAGAGGAGGGGCACACCAGGCCGCATGGGGCATCCGGGGACCCAGAGGAGGGGCACGCCAGGCCACGCAGGACATTCGGGGAGCCAGCAGGGTTGCTCAGGGTCGGAGGCAGGGGTGGAGGGGCTGGGTGGTTTACACACAGAAGGAGCCCCTTGGGTGGGTTGCTAGTCTGGGAAGGGCCGCCCCTCCAGGGTCAGCGAGGCCCCAGATGTCAAAGCATCAGATACAGATACTAAAAGACATGGTTAGTGTCCAGGCCCAGCTCCCGTCTTCTCTCCTGAGCCCTGACCCTCTGCAGACAGTGCAACCACAGACACAGTGTGGTCCCCCCACCCCGCCTGGCCTGTCCATGCAACGCAGGAACCTAGGACCGGCCCCTCTGAACGAGCCTGTCATGGCATCACGGCTGTGTGTGTCTGAGCGCTCCAGAATCTACCCCCTCTTCTCCACACCCCCACTGGGGCAGCCTTCCCTCCTGAATAATCCTTAGGACAGGTGTCCCCGGCCCGGACCCACGGCCCAGCTTGTCCCTGCTTTTCCAGGGCTGCTGGGCTGGCCTGGTTTTGTGGCCCAAGCCGAGGGGGGCTGAGAAGTGAATGGGAGCTTGGCCCGTGCAATTCCCCCCCACACACACTGCTCTCTGTAAGGTCACAATGCGGAATCTATGGAGGAGGGCCGGGGTCTGACCGTCCGCGCTGCTCGCAGGCCCAGGCTGCTCTGAGTATCCAGCAGCTATAGCACCCTCTGCCCCTCTCCAGCTTTGACACCGACCGGTCCTCCCGTGGACCCCCCTCCTGCAGAACGCTCAGGAGCTCAGTTCGGCCAGAGCTGGTTGCCTGCGACCAGTGTTTCTAACCGGGTCTTCCCAGAGAGGTGGTGAGGCCTGCGGGGTCAACTGTGAGTCAGGGGAGCGGGCATCTGGACCCCTACCCCTCCGTCTCGTGCTGAGACCACAGTGATGCTGTGCGGGGCCAACTCGGAAGGCCTTGAGAGTCACGGGTCTCTGAGGAGGCCCCAGCCTCCTAACTCGGGCCTCCCCGTGCTGATACATGGAGCTGCCTCTGTTCCAGGAGGCCGGATGCAGGGCCCTGGGCTCCCGAGTGTCCACTCTCCAGGGTGGGAGGGCTGAGACAGACACAGGAAGGACCGGGAGGGGTGCGTGTGCGTGTGAGTGCGGGTGTGCGTGTGTGATATGGGTATGCGTGATGTAGTCCATCGGGGGTGAGGCCTGGACCACAGGATTCTAAATTCCTCCCATTCTTATGACCAGCAGCATTTAGGGGCTCCTGTCCCAGCCTCCCTGACAGCTCTCCGGAGGCCCCACTCTGTGCGCTTGGCCGAGGTGCCCCTTCTTGGGTCAGCTCAGGGCAGGTGAGGACGGACAGGGCCGCTGAGGGGCGAGTGCCCGCTCCTGGCTGTGGGGCGGCCGAGCTACACATTAAATGAAGTCAGTCCAGAAAGCGGCTCCGTAAGGATGATGGAGGGCACATCCTCCGGGCGCCCTGCATACGAGGGCGGAGCCACGCCGCGGTGCCCGTTCTCCCTCTCCCGCGCCGGCGCAGGAAGCGCTGGCCTTTGAACAGTGGGCACTCCACCGAAGTGCCATTTTGGTTGTGCAGGGGTGCGGAGAGAACGGAGAAGCAAGCGAGAGGCAGGGCACCTTCTTTGGGTGTTGTGTGTGCGCCGAATGCGCTGGCCAGGCCCCTGCGGCGCTTGGTCCCAGCCCCGCGGGCTCACACTGCCCTGCGGAGGCCGTGAGCGCGGTCTGACCTGGAGAAGCCGCTCCCTGGCACCTGGGCTGACCCGTCACAGTTCCTGGGTTTTTAAGCAGCAGGTCTCGCCTGCAAGGGCAGAGGACGGCTCTGGAACCCACCTTCAGACCCCGGCTCCGACGTCCGAGGAGCTCTGCTCTGGGGGGCCCCAGGGCTTCCCATGCCCCCGAGCTCCCTCCCTCGGCAGCTGCCTGCAGACTGACACCTGGTCCTCCCCTTCGTGTTTGCTGTTTCTGTTTGGGTGCCAATTAGCCAAGCTGATTGAGATGATTAGTGGTGGAGGCGCGGGGTGGGTGTGATGGCCCATTCAGGCCCTGAGACTCTGCTCCCCCACTCTGGGTGAAGAGGCAGCTTTGGGGGTCCCACAATAGTTCTGGCTCCCTGCCCCTCCCCCCATGAAGCCACAGTGTGACCTTGGGCCCGTCTCGTGACTGCTCGGTGCCTCGGTAACGAGAACGCAGTTAACCACCACTGCAGGTCCCAGTCCAGCTTCCTCTGTTCGGAACGCCGTGATGGAAAACCCACTAAGGGAGGCTGGACCGGATGGGGATCCAGGCCTCTCACAAAGCACACGGCTGATAGGCGCTAACTTTCCATCGGCGGTCCTTGGGGTACAGACCTCGTGTTGCCTCATGGCCACAAGATGGCTGCCACCCCTCCGGACCTCATGTCCATAATCGTAGCTTTCCTGAAAGCCCCACGCTGAGACGTCTGCTTTCATCTCACTGAGCAGAACGGTCTGGCACAGCCACCTCTAGCCAGGGAGGGGGGACGCCTGGTCCCTGCCAGCATGGTGGGAACACGGGGTCTGTGATGCGACTTGAGCCGGGCTCTGGAGCCGTGGCGCCGGAGCCGTGGCGCCATCACCTCCACGTGCCTCATTCCTGCCCCACACAGACGTTACCCGTGTGGTGATGCCCAGAACCCCCGGGCCAGGCTCGCCTGCTAACTTCCTGCGCACTCTGTCCTGTCTCGGGGCCACGCGGCGCCCTGCCACGCACCCTTCCCTCCCTCCACGGCCAGTTTAACCCAGAAAGGGGCGGGGATCTGAAGGGGTCCTGACCTCCCCCACGAAGCCACGAGCTGTCCTCACGTGACTAAAGCTTGAAGTCACTGAGCCAGATCCGGCGGGACCCTTCCAGCCATCCTGTCCCGTGGCTGCACGAGCCGCACGTGGCTCTGTAAATCAGTTCCAAATCTGTTAACATCTAATAAAGACGCCGGCTCCTCGGCCATGCCAGCCACATTCCAAGGGCGCAGAGGCCACCATTTTGGCTGCCCAGGTCCTGTGGGAAGTCCTGTGGGGCAGCGCGGGGCTAGCAGCTGCTAACAAATTCCTAAGAGGGAGTCCATTCATTCATCGAACAACAGTTTCCTGAGCGCCGGCATGTGCGGGCTGTGTTCTGAGTGCGGCGGGCCAGGCGGTGGTCCTGGAGCTCACACATTAGTGGGACGCACAGACCACAGCGAGGAGGCCCAAGGGGCAGCAGCTTCAGAAGGGAGGGTGAGGAGGGCTCCATGAAAGGGTGGCATCTGAGCAAAAGCCTGCGGGCGGCCTGGCGCAGAGATCAGGGCAGGGCGTTCCCCCGGAGGGAAGAGCAGGTGCACAGGCCCTGGGGGCGTGGGGAGGGCAGAGGGAGAGAGGGCAGTGAGGGTGGAGAGCCCGGGGAGCACAGGGCCGGCAGGCAGGGACAGCAGCTGAGGCGTGGCGGCCCCTCCAGAGACCCACGGTGCTGGTGGCGGCCGCAGGAGGTGTGCGGGAAGCACAGTGCTGTCCCTGCGAGGCTGCAGGCCTCCCACTCTTGCACTCCGTGTTTGCCTTCTGGAAGATTCCTGGCTCACCACGTGTGCACCTGCGTTCCCAGCCTCCTGGCAGTGCGGCCGGAGGCTTGTGAACAGAAGTGGTGGAAGTCTCCTCCCCGCATCCGCCCCCCCGGGCTAGCTGCACAGAAGCCCCCTCCCGACTCCTCCCGGCGCCAGGCTCTGGAAGCAGGACACGGGGTAGGCCACTCGGCGCTCAGCACGGAGAAGCAAACTTCAGCCCACGCCCCTCGTCCCGGGGCAGGGTCTGCACCATCATGGTGAAGGAGCTGCCCCTGGGCTCTGTGCACCATCTGCAGAGGGGTGGTCTAGGGCGGGCTGGGAGCCCGGCAGGGGGAGCCAGTGGCCGCAGCATTCTGGGAATACCGTGAGGAACCCACAGCCTCTCCCCCCGCCCCCAACGCAGGACGTCCGACCTGCCCAGACGTGACTTGTTCCGGCTGTGGGTGGTGTCCAGAGGGGCCCCCGATCCTCAGCTGTGAGATTGCCCCCTCCTTCCTCTGCTTCCTGAAGGCGAAGTCGGGCAAGGGAGGAGGCAGAGATCCGCTGTCATCTTCCCCGAAGGAGGACGAGGCTCTGTAGTGAGGAACGGCAGCCCCAGAAAGGTGTCAGGATGGTCAGGCTGTGCACTGAGAAAAGACAGACCAGGGCAGGCGTCAGAGGGGATCGTGGGCGAGGGTCTTCAGGGATTTTTGAGGAAGCAGCTGTAAGATGCTTTCTTTAGCCCGAGATCGTGTGTCTGGGGTGCTTGAAGCAGGGTTTGTGTGGTAAGTGCTGGATTGGAGGTGTGTGGCATGGTTGGCGTGCTTTTTTCAAATTAGATTGCAGGTCTGTCCCCCCGCTGGGGGGCAGCTGCTGGTGTGTAAGCCCCCGGGGCCAGGCCCTCTGCACCGAGCAGGCCCTGGGATGGGGTGGGGGATGAAATTTGGTAAGAAACCCAAAGGGGCACGTAACCCGAGGCCACAGCTCCTGTTGGGCCGACTCCCCTGGAACAAGCCCCAGGCCGGCGCCCTCTGGAAGCTGTGTCCTGGGGCCTGTGAGCAGGGGCGGGGCCACCCAGCAGCCTCGGTGTCCCCCCCCAGGTGTGGCAGTGCGGCGGCAGCATGGAGGTGCTGCCCTGCTCCCGCGTGGCCCACATCGAGCGCACCAAGAAGCCCTACAACAACGACATCGACTACTATGCCAAGCGCAACGCCCTGCGGGCAGCCGAGGTGTGGATGGACAGCTTCAAGTCCCACGTGTACATGGCCTGGAACATCCCCATGACCGTAAGTGGCGAATAGCAGGGGAGGGGGCGGGGCCGAGACGGGGGCGGGGCCGAGACGGGAGAGGGCGGGGCGGAGGCACGGGACGGGGAGAGGGGGAGAGGGCGGTGCTGGGGTGGGGCGGGGCCTAGGCGGGGGCGGGGGGGTGGGGGGGAGGAGAGTGGGGCCGAACCTGGGGGCAGGGCCGAGGCGGGGGGCGGGGCCGAGGCGGGGGGCGGGGCCGAGCCTGGCCAGGGCGCGGGTGCACCCCAGGGCAGCCTGAGGCCACCCCTGCCCCTGCCCCTGCCCCTGTCCGAGTGGGGCTGGTCTGGGACAGGACTCCCCGAAAGTGGGCCCAGCCAGTTAGGTGCCCCACGCTTTTTGGTGTATGTTTTCCCATCCACCAAAGGCGCTGCAGTTGGCTGGAAGTGAGGGTCGGCTCTTCCCCACTCGCTGCGCATTGTGCCGACCCCACCCACCTAGAAATGCACCCAGAAATGTGTTGGCAAGGCAGCGCGCCCACCACGCGGTCGGTTTGGGGCACAGGGCAGCCCCAGCTCACTGCCCGCCAGCCCACAGGACATGCGTGGGGTCTGCTTGGGTTTTGTGGTCAATACACATGATAGGAAGTACCACTTCGGCCTTTCTAAAGTATGCCGTCCCCGGCGCTGAGCAAACCCACAGAGCCGTACAACCATTGACACCACCTAGTTCCAAAGACAGCACCTCAAAAAGAGCCGCTGTGCCCAACGAGCGGCTAACTCCCGTTTGCCCGCCCCCAGCCCTCAGCAACCACCAGCCTGTTCTGGACCCTTCCCATAAACGGAATCCTGCAGTGTTTCCCCTCTTGTGTCTGGCTCCTTCGCTGAGCATCATGTTCTCAAGGGCCGTCCACGTTGTAGCGGGCCTCGGTGCTTCTTCCTTTCTGTGGCCAGCTCACATTCCAGGGTGTGGACGGCCACAGTTGGTTTACCCCTCCACCCGCCGTGGACACCTGGGGTGCTCCCTATGTCTTTGGTTTTGGTCTATGCAGTTCTGACCCACAACCTAGTTAGGGGTTGCTGTATGTGTTTTTTGTTTACTTTGTGATCAACTAATTTCCCATAAATAGCCCATATTCTGGCTTTTCTTGGGAACTTCGAAGACCCGCTTCCTGGCCTCCAGAACAGTAATAAGGGCAGAGAGAGGTGGTCCCTTACGTGGGGCGCTGTCGAGACTGCCAGGCTCCCCCCCACACACCCGCTCCAGAACCAGCCCTCACTCACATGCTGCTTCCCTGGCCACGGGGGGTGCGAGGCTCCAGGCCCCGGCTGCAGCCATCCTGGAAATGATTTTTACGTCAGCTCGCAGTAAGAGCTGGAGATTCTGTCAGACCGTGTGCACATGCGTGTGCCCGCGTCCGCGTGCTCACCTGTCAACAGAGAGAGCTTCAAACACATACAGAAGTTACAGAAACAGCACTCATGTCTGTTACGTGCATTTCTCTCTGCACCTCCTAAACCCTGGCAGGGTGTGCCCAGCATTTGGGTGACGCTGCCAGAGCGCCAGGCTGGGCCGCCGGCTCACAGGACCCCTCTGAGGAGGGAGCAGGGGCCGCTCAAGGCCCCCTCCTTCCCCGTGGGCTCCTCACACAGCAGTGTCCAGACGATGAGGAACGCCATGGAAACACGCACACACACGTTTATCAGAGACGGAAGGAGGGCTCACCGTCTCTCGTAAAGCCTCATTGTCCACCAAGGGAACAGGTTCCAGAAACGTCCCCGTTACTACTGCAAAGGGAACCCGGGCGCTGTCCTCGTGGGCCTGTAGACCGCGTCCCTGAGGGGTCACCAGCTCCAAGCCAGAGCCCGGCAGATGCCCCCCCACATCTCATTCTCAGGGACCTCTAGGGGCCCTGCACGCCCATGACTCACCTGATCCTCGTGTGAAGGCTGGGAGGAGCTTCTCTGTGGCCATGCCCACCACGCGGATGAGGGAGAGGGGCTCCCGAGGGTGGAGCCACAGGCCCCCTGGCCAGGGGAAGGCGCTTGCTCAAACCCGCTCACACCCACAGAGCTTGGTGCCCACTGCAGCGTCAGGGACCTCAAGGCCACTTAGCCCTCACGGTGATGTCGCCGACCGGGCACACCCACCCGAGCCTCAGTTTCTCCTGAGGGCTCATCCACGCACACATGCCAGCCTCCCACAGGGCTGACCTTAGTCTCTAGCCCCTGCAGAAGTCAAGCAGATACCCCACCACGGCCCTAAGCTCCCCCAGACATCACCCTGCAACCTAGACTGTCCAGCCCAGATCCCAGGTAAACAACACTCTAATCAGGCGGGATGTTCCAAGGGCTTAGAGGTCACCTCCCGGGGCGGGGGGCCAAGGGCAGGTCTTTTGTTTGGAGTGTGCAGGGTGTGGACAGCCAGCCCACAGTCAGGGGCCATCCGTCCAGCCTGGGGCAGAGCAGGCTGGCTGGAGACGCAGGCCCTTCCCATCCAGAACAGCTACCCCGGCCTCCAAGGGTGGGGGAGGGCGGGGGGGCGGGGAGGAGGCCGCCCCTAGCCACGCCCTGGGGGGCGGGGCTGCGCCCGTCCCGAGGCTCCCCCACCTTGGGCAGAGACCTGGGTCGTGGCGACTCTGCAACGCCAGCTCGCTTCCCCGCTCGCAGAACCCAGGGGTGGACTTCGGGGACGTGTCCGAGCGGCTGGCCCTGCGCCAGCGGCTGAAATGCCGCAGCTTCAAGTGGTACCTGGAGAACGTGTACCCGGAGATGAGGACCTACAACGACACCCTCACGTACGGAGAGGTACCGCCTCCGCCGGGAGGGCCCCCAGCCCGCACCCTCACCCGTACCCGCGTGCGCGCTCACGGGCCCAGCCGGCAGCGTGCGCGGGCACGTTCGCACGTACCTGGCGCCGAGTAGAGGAAGAGCATAGACCCACCGCGTACGTGCATGCAGAAACGCACGCTAGTAGATGCAGACGCGTGCACACGTGTGCACAAATACACGCACGAACTGCACATATATTCACACGCATGCACGAGGATCCGTATGAGTACGTGAGTCTGTACACACGTAAGGACAAGCGCACAGTGTTGCTCGTGTGCACACACAGAGCGACTGACAGAGCCTCACTCGTGCACACAAACCCAAAGGTGCCTGCCCGTGCACACGGAGACGGACAGACACCGTCGTCAAGACCAACTGTCAGGGGGCCGGTGCACCCTAACCCCTGAGACGGACACACTGACGCACTTGCGCAAACGTAGTCGTGTTCGGAAGCTCCCGTGCATGCGTGTAAGTGCGAACAACACGCACATGGGGGCCCATCGGCTGCACGGAGACTCGCATGTCTGCCTAGCCCCCACGTGCACGACCACTGTCAACCTGGTCTGTGCTGGTGGAGGGGGCAGCCTCGCTCCCCTCGGCGCTCCAGCTGTTCAGGGGAGCCCAGGTCCCCGTGTGGAAGGAAGGCGTGCGCATGGTCCTGGGCTCGCGCTCAGCGCAAGGCTAGAAGGGGTGCCCGGGGTGGACAGTCCTGGCTGGCCTAGCCATTCCTGCAGCTGACACTTTCCCGAGGCGCTGGCCGCCCAGCAGGCCCCTCTGCCCTGCAGTGGGGATGGGCTGGCCTTGCCCTGGCCTCAGGGACCCCCAACAATGGGGTTTCTCCTTCGGTTTCTGGTTGTAGGTGAGAAACAGCAAAGCCAGCGGCTACTGCCTAGACCAGGGAGCAGAGGACGATGACCGCGCCATCCTCTATCCTTGCCATGGGATGTCCTCCCAGGTAGGGGCGTGCAGGTTGTGAGTGGGCTCTCAGGGGCGGCGTGGGGACCCTCGGGGAGACCCCCGCCCCGGGTGGACTAAGAGCAGGGCTTCTGGTGCCAAACAGGCCTTGGGCAGCTCGCGTCACGTTGCTTGCCTCAGTCCCCATCCATCAGATGTCACGATAATGGTACCTGTCAAGGCTGTCGTGTGGACCAAAGTGGATCATGTGGGAAAGCGTTTGCCACCATGTGGACGGAACCTAGAAGTGTTACCTAGAAGAAGGGTTAGCGCTGGTTCTTACTGGCTGAGCTGCTCCCCAGTGATGGGGGCTTTAAAAATGTCTGTACCGATGTCTAGATCCCAGGCCCGTGGAACCAGATGGTGCAGGGGCAGGTGTGTTTTCAGAGAGCTCGGGGTAGGACTTTAGTCCCAGTGAATTCCCTGCTGGTAAAGGCAACACTTCTTCTTAAGGAGTGTTGGGGTCATTTAAATTAAGGCCCAGAGTGCTTTCCCCAAATTACCCTTGACTCCCCTCCAAGCACTGTCTGGGTCTGAGCCTCACTCACGGATGCCCATCCAGTGGAAACCCGCAGGGACCCATGCCAGCCCTGGGCACTGAGAAGCTGCCGAGTCCACACGGCCCACCCAGCGGTGCATGGCGGGCGTGAGGGCCGAGCCTGTGACGCTGGAGCAGAGGGTGTGGCCCCTCCACACCTCCCGCAGCCTCGCCCCAGGACCCCCTCTGGGCCTACCGTTGAGAGACAGAGTCTTAGTGGCCTCCAGGGGGAAATCCAGCTTCCTGGGCTTGTCACACTCTGTGGACGATTCTCTGGCTGGCAACCCCCGTGAGGGGCTGCGTCCTGCTGGGTTCTCTGAACACACCCAGCGAGTAGCCACGGGAGGTGACCGGGCGGCTGAGGCTTTCCCCCAGTCCTGCAGCGCGAGAAGAGACGCCACAAACCACGTGGACTGAAAGATCTCTCTAGATGTGGCTCACACATGTGCAGTCTGGGCTCGTGCTGGCCACCAGCTCAGGAGGGCCTCGGACCCTCCGCACGTGGCCTCTCCCCAGGCTGCCCGGTTCTGAGGGCAGGCGTCCCAGGAGAACCAGACGGGCCACGACCATGTACACCCAGCCCCAGAAGTCAGCGGCGCGTCCGTGATGCTCCCACGCTCCCCAGAAAGATCCAGGGGAGATTGTAGACCCTCACCCTTCACAGGGGGGTCCAGGTCGCTGTCCCGGAGCGAGCAGGGTGGGAGGATTGTGTGGGAAAACCCAGCCTTGTGCACTGGGAGCTGCCAGTGTATTCGGGCGGTGTGCGTGCTCGGACAGGAGGGGAAAGGCGGGATGGGCACGGAGAGGAGAGACGTACAGTGACAACACTTGCTTGTTTATGGGGCCTGTGCTACTTTTAAGCACTTCTGTATCGTGTCCCCTGGATCCTCACTGCCAGGCAGGTGCTCTCAGGACTGCCTGCTTACAGATGAGCATCCCAGGCACAGAGAGGTGGCGTGACTTGACCAAAGCCACACGGCTGGGAATGGCAGGAACTCTCTAGGGCTGGTCATGAGCAAACAACGTGAAGTAGGATCAAGGCGTGCGTGAACTTGGGGTTGCTCTCCACATGGAAATAAGTGTCCACCTCGTGGTTGTTCGAGGGCAGATGGGGCACCCTAAGGGCGTGTGTGAGATTCTGCGGCTCTGGGCCGAGAGGCCAGGCTCCAGGAGCTGGGCTGGGAGCAGAGCTGTGGAAAGGAGTCTAAGGCGGTCCTGCTGGGGGATCTTGGGGGAAGGAGCGGGGCCAGGGGCGCGGGGCGGTCTGGAGGGCATCCCCAGGTGGCTCTCTGTGCGCCGCTCCCCCGGGCCTGGCCCTCCCCAGGAAGCTCTGGTGCGTGGGCTGGCAGGCCCGGGCAGTGCCGCCCTCGTTCCCTGACACCCACCCACGGCCCTCTCTCAGCTGGTGCGGTACAGCACAGACGGGCTGCTGCAGCTGGGCCCCCTGGGCTCCACCGCCTTCCTGCCCGACTCCAAGTGTCTGGTGGATGAGGGCAGGACCCGCGCACCCGCCCTGAAGAAGTGCGAGGACGTGGCCCGGCCCGCGCAGCGGCTGTGGGACTTCACCCAGGTCAGCGGGGCTGCTGGGCCCCCGGGGCCCCCAAGCCAGCCCGTGGGGGGGACACCCGCTGGTGTGGTCACAGCACTGTGACTGCCCCCACACTCCGCGTCCTCGGGCCTCCTGGGGAGGTGGTGTAGATGGAGGGGACGGGGGTGACAGGCACCCAGACGGCCTCGCCACCGTGGCTGGCCGAGCTCTGCCGAAACCACCCCCACCCCGGGCCCTGGGGCTGCTGGGACGCTGGTTTAGAAGTTCCAGCCCCGAGAACAAACCTTCAGGCTGGGGAGTCACAGGCGGCCCCCGCGCTGGTGGGAGCAGCCTGGGTGAGAATGGCACACGGATCCCCAGGGTGCAGCCAGCGCCCAGGGAAGGGGGCTTCCAGTGCCTCCCAGCCCCCGCTGGCTCTGGGCCTGTGAGCAGGGTCTGGCTGGCCTTCCTCTGGGTGGCCCTCTCCGCAGCCCCTCCTGCCCTCTGTCCTCCCTCGGCTCCCCCTGCACCGCATCCATCCGCATACCGCATGCCCTTCTCTGGGTGTCCGGAGGTCGCCTCCCCACCAGCTCATCCTCCATGGTGTGGCCTCCTGTGGGTCCACCCAGGTTAGCCAAGGACACGTCCTCTCGTGACCTCGCCTGGAACCCCATCTCCCTCCAGCCCTGAGCAGCCCCCGACCCCTTTCCGTAAGACACACCTGTGTCCTAAATCCCTGCGGTCTCCTGCAGCAAATGACCACAGACATGCAGGCTCTCACCGTCCTTGTGGAGCGGGAAGTCTGAAACCAGCAGTCTGCAGGGCGGTGCTCCTGCCGCGGGCTCTGGGGGGTCCTTCCTGCCTCTCAAGGCCCTGTCCCTCCTCCCGCCACCTGCTGTCCCCGTCTCTGTCTCCGAATCTCTCCCCTGGCAGGGACGCCAGCGTGGGCCGAGGGTCAGCTGCTCCAGTGTGACCTCATCCTAACCAGTCACGGCTGCGCAGACCCTAAGGTCGCACTGCCGGGTTCTGGGGCGAGACTCGGTGGGTCTGACCTGCTTCTCCAGAACTCTCTGCCCATGCTACTCCGTTGCAAGGCTCTTGGGACTCTGAGGCCTGGGGAGCTGCTTCCAGCATCCCCTCTCCCTGCCATGGGCAGGGAGTTCTGTCATCCCCGTCTCCGTCTCCAACTTCATCCCCACACGCTCTCTGCCATCGGTCCCAACAAGCAGACCCGTGACAAGTAAACACCGTCAGGTGACCCTGCCCTCAGCACTGGGGTTTGGGGGCTTCTGGTTGCAGAAGAGGCTGCAGGAATGAGGGGTCATCTTTTCGAGCATAGCCAGTAAGGGTCAGAGGTCCCCAGGAGGCCAGGGTTGGGGTTGGGACAGCAAGAAGGACCTGTTTGGAAAAGAATGGGGGTGTATAGCATACAGTCCTGGGGTCCTCAGGCTTGGGCCAGAGTCCTTGATGTCTGGGGGACCAGCGGGCCTGCAGGGGTGACTGATGGGCAAATCAGATATGATAGGAGGTGGGAGGCACCCAGGGGAGCCCTCCATCTTAGGGGCCCTGTGTCCATTGTGCTAGTCACTCCTCAGACCCCAGGAGCAAGGCAGGCAGGTGACATGGCTGATAAGGTGAAGATGCCTGAGGACAGGGGACCAGGAGGGGACAGAGGGGCTAGGTGGGGGCAGAGGGGCCAGGAGCGGGCGGAGGGGCTAGGTGGGGACAGAAGGACCAGGAGGGGGCAGAGGGACTAGGTGGGGACAGAGGGACCAGGAGGGGGCAGAGGGACTAGGTGGGGACAGAGGGACCAGGAGGGGACAGAGGGACTAGGTGGGGACAGAGGGACCAGGAGGGGGCAGAGGGACTAGGTGGGGACAGAGGGACCAGGAGGGGACAGAGGGACAGGGGACAGAAGGACAAGGAGGAGACAGAGGGACTAAGGACAGAGGGACCAGGAGGGGACAGAGGGACTAGATGGGGACAGAAGGACCAGGAGGGGGCAGAGGGACTAGATGGGGACAGAAGGACCAGGAGGGGGCAGAGGGACTAGGTGGGAACAGAGGGACCAGGAGGGGGCAGAGGGACTAGGTGGGGACAGAGGGACCAGGAGGAGACAGAGGGACAGAAGGACCAGGAGGAGGCAGAGGGACTAGGTGGGAACAGAAGGACCAGGAAGGCACAGAGGGATGGGACAGATAGTCCCCTGAGTCTCGGGTGGCTGTGCAGTGATCTGCATGGGGCTTGTCATCAGCCCCACCCCGAGATGTTGTCAGGATGGGAGCCCTGGGCGTCCATGCTGACCTGGTCCCCCTCCCCACAGAGTGGTCCCATTGTGAGCCGGGACACCGGTAGGTGCCTGGAGGTGGAAATGTCCAAAGACGCCAACTTTGGGCTGCGGCTGGTGGTGCAGAGGTGTTCGGGGCAGAAGTGGACCATCAGAAACTGGATCAAGCACGGGCGGCACTGACCCCCAGCCCCACCCCGCACCCCTCCCCTGATGCAGACCCCGAGGACCTGGGGAAGGTGTCGGGCTCACCCGCTGGGCCAGGTGCCAGGACTCAGGCCCCTCCCCGCCTACCGCGCCACTGGACCCCAAAGGGCTCTGGCCATGCCCTGTGCCACCCCCAGCCGGGACCTCGCCTGGGCTGCCCACAGGCCGTGTCCCTGAGACAGCGGGGGCCTCCCTGTGCACTCCAGAGGCAGAGGCCAGGGACCGGCCACCCCACCAGGAGCACAGAGCCTGAAGCCAGCTCCACCTCCAAATCACGTGCCTTTTCTACGGTGTTCCAGTCCAGGCCGCCGGGACGGCCAAGTCTGCATGTGCTGAAGCCCCCTGTCCATTCCCCCCTCGCGGAAGTGACCCCCATGAACTCAAGAGGGCGGCCGAGCTCCCGTCCGCTCCAGGCAGAACTGGGCCTCTTCCGTCTTCTGGCCATCTAAGGCAAAACCCAGAACGCAGAGCAGCACCCTCCCCGAGGCTGGGGAGAGGGGGAGACAGGAGACGTGGCCGCAGTGGACCCCACGACGCCCCAGGCAGGGGAGACGAGGAGATTGTGCTGCTTCCATCCAGCACAGGGCGGATCAAATGGGACAGAGCGCATCTCGTCCACCGGAGTCCCAGCTGCCGGGTCGTCCGGGGTCAGGGGCCCTGTTCTAGTGTCTCGCCCGGGGCCAGGCGCCTTCCCTCGTTGCTCTGAGGCAGGCGTCAGCCAACGATGACCCACGGCCCTGCACCTGTTTTTATAAATAAAGTTTTATTGGCACACAGCCACACCCATCTGTTCCTATATTGTCCGGCGCAGCCTTGTTGCTCCAGGGCGGGAGCTGAGAGGCCGCACGTGCCCCACGGGGCTGTCCCAGGAGCTCCAAGAGGCCGTCTCTGGGCAGGACGGCGCTTAATGAAGCAGCGAACGTTGCAGGGCCCTGGGAGGGAAGCCGGACCCAGTCCTGCCTGTTCCCGTCCCCCATCAGACCCAGTGCCCGGCTGTACGCAGCCCCAGGGGCACCCCACCACTGGCCCCGGCCTGATATGACCAGCGTCCCCATGCCGGCTGCACCTGTAAAGCACCTAGCTGCTCCCTAACTCTGGTGGAAGGCCTGGGCTGTCCGGTGACAGGACCCCGGGGCTGGGCTGGCTCACCCAGATGCCAACTCCTGCAAACCCAACCGCCCAGTCCTCCCAGCGGGGGCTCCCGATGCCCTTCAGGGGTCTCCCGGGGGCAGAAACCGTGGCCCCACGCGTGACTTCCCATTCTTGTCGAGTTGCCTGGCGCCGACTGGCAGGCTTTCTGGACAACAGGGCTTCACTCAGGGGGCACGTGGGACTTACCTGTTGACCTTGTGCTGGGGCCAGGCAGCCCACCTTCCAGGGAGGGCCGGTCCAGGGAAAGCATCACAGCCGACGCCCCCGCCGTGTCTCCTTCTGAAGAGGAGGGCCATTCTGGGAGTGCTGGGGGTCTCAGCCCTGAGACAGCAGCTGTTCGCCCTCTCTTAGGGTCAGTCTCTGGGGAAGGTGGGGGCTCTGACCGACCCTCAGGGTCAGAGGGGCACGTGGGTTGTGCATTCACTGTTCTCTGGCCCCAGAGAGACACAGTGAGTCTGCACCTCACTGTCCCCCATCCCAGGCCCCTCGGCTCGTGGCCCTCCCCCAGCGCCCTGCCCCCTGGGCGCCACCCCACCGCCCCCTCCTCCCCTGCTCCTTGCTGGGCCCCAGTCCCTCTTGCTGTGGAATCCCTGCCCAGCCCCAGCTTCTCCGCAGAGAATTCCACCAGCTCAAACCCAAGGCCACCAAAGCCCTCTCTATTTCTATCTTCCCCAAATTTTAAGACCGTAGTGGAGGCAAACGCCTGGCCAGAGTCCATCTGTCGCCAAAGACCCGAGTACACACACCTCCAGAAGCTTCCAAGTGAAGGCGAGACACGTCGCAGACTTCGGCAGGCAAAGAGGACTGCCCGTGGTTTAAAATGGGACGTGTCGCCACTCCAACGATAAAACTCATGGTGCTACAGTTCATTAGGCAAACGGACAGTCCCACGGAAGCTGCTGGTTGTGGCCCCACAGCCTCAGGGACAACGGAGGTGTCTCGACCAAGCTCCTGTCCTCGTGGGAGGCGGCACCTTCGGAGAGCTTGCTGTCTGTCAGGTCCTGGCTGGCTCCGAGGACGCTGTCGCCGGGGGACGTGTTGCGAGGTGGAGGCTCTCTGTCTGCCGTAAGCAGGGGACAAAGCCGCCCTCTTCACGAGGGGCGGATCACGGCGCTCTCTTAGCCCTTACCGCCTCGCGAGCAGCCCTTTCTCCGAAGAACCGCCCAGGAACCCGGGGGCACAACTCAATCCCCAGAGCCCCAGCCCCACGCTGCTGCAGCTCCCTCCAGGTGCAGGCGCTGTGGACACGGTCCTGCGCAGTTCTGCGGTCACCGCGTGGCATGGCCCTGGTCGTGGCGGGCTGGCGTCCCCACTGGTGCAGATCCCTGTCTGTTCTAACACGTGGTGACACGCACTCCCCTGGGCCCCCACCACCATCCGTCCACAGGCTGTCCTCAAGAGAACCCAGCCCCTGAGACCCTCTGACCTCCTGTTCTCGCTTCCTTGGCCTTAAAGAACAGTAACTCTTCTTCTTTGTCTGTGGTTGAGGTCACCCCGCTGTGCCAGGAAGGGTCCCATCCATCAAACAGGGCCTTGAATGCAGGGTATGGATCACGTGATGGAAGTGCCCAGGCTTTGAGGGGGGCACTGGGGCATCCCAGGGACTCGCCTTCCAGCAGCTGAAAGGACCCCAGGAGCCGCGGCCACTTGAGGGGCTGGAGCTACAGAAGGAACAGTGGGAGCGTCCCTGCCATCGGAGACCCCCAGCTTCCCACCCCGGCTCAGCCAGGGAAGGGAGGCAGGAAAGGGTCTGCCCACCGCAAGCTAGCAGCCAGGGCCCGTCTCAGAGCAGACGGACTTCCCCCGCACAGACGACCCACTTGCAAGGGTCAATTTTTACATTTTCAGGAATTTTGTGAACCAATTGTGAAATACAGCATTACTAAAAAGTAAATTATATGGACCTACAATTAAAAATTACACTGAAAACAAAGGTAACAGTCAAAACTCACCACTTGCTATTTATTAGCACGTCATTACGACCTGCGCTCTAGCCATGGTCTGTCCTGGGGAGGAAGTGAGGGCGGCTCCGGATGGCAGGCTGGTGGCTGGCAATGGTCCACGGTGGAAATACTCGTCAGCGGGAGTGGTCGGCACCACAAACCAGGGCGCGCTTTACAGAGAGCTCCTGCTGGACACCAATCGGCACCCCTCTGTTTACGTTGTCCCAGCACCCCCCCCCGCCACACACAGTATCTTCCCAACACAGGTGGTTCTTTTCAGAGCGAAGAAGGTCTCCAGCCATGCAACCTCCTCTCCCCACCTGCCTGGGAAAGTGCTGGTGAGCATTCTGGGAAGGAGGAGGAGGAAGAGGGGGAGGGAGGAAGGAAAGAGGGGAGAAATATGTTTAAAACTACAATCCCACTTCCTCCTTGAAATAAGCCTGGTAGTGCTGAGAACCTCTGTGCCCATTTTACAGGTGGGGAAGCAGAGGCTCAGAGGATGGAAGTGACTTGGCTGCAGGCACGCTCTCTCCCCGGGGCAGGTCCAGAGGCTCGTACTCAGATCGGCTCCACCCTGCCTGGCTGCTGGGGATGGTTTTCTTTCTTTCTAAACAACTGTCATGTTCAAATGGCAAAGATACAAGCAAATAGAATTTAATAAAACTTAATAGCAGGCTCTCTTCTTCCACTAATTCAGTTGTAAATTGGCCGTGCCACGAATTCAGAAAAATCCGTGTTGTTTGTTTAAAACAGTTCATTTGTAACCAAACCTAATAAGCAGTCGTGGCTTTGGGCGGAGCTGTAAACACGCAGATGCTTCTGATGAGAGGCAGGGAGCGCACAGAGGTCTTTCCTTTCCTCTGCTCTTGACAGAGATAATGTGCATCAGAACTTAATTTTGTCTAATAAAAATGTTCATTGCTCCAATGAATCTTCATTTATGGTTGAAACCTGTTGGGTGAGTGGACCCTGTGGGAAGCAGGGATCTGGCCCAGGGGTGGGGTCCCCAAGAGGAGGGCAGGGGAGTGGGCTGGAGAACAGGTTGGGGGGAGTGTGGAGCAGGGCAAGGGAGTGGAGGGGAGGGTGCTGGGGGAGGAGGAGCACAGCAGGGGAGCAGGTTGGGGGGAGTGGGGCCTGTGGGGCCAAGGAGAGGGGAGGGGAGTGGGTTGGAGGGAGCTGGGTAGGGAGCGGGGCAGGTGGGGGAGGGGGAAGGGGAAGGAGGAGTAGGGCAGGGAGCGTGTCAGAGAGTGGGGTAGGCCAGTGGGTTGGGGTGGGGCTTGGGGAGAGGGAAGGGGGAGCTGGGTAGGGGAGCGGGGCTGGACTAAGAAGCCTCCGCGCAGGCCCCCTGGCACCCACCCGGTGCTGGGGTCCCTGACCCAGCCACAGGCACAGGGAGGGGCGGGGCGTGTGGGTCCTGCCTCAGGGCTGAGCCCTCACCCCAGGCACACCCCAGAAGGATGTGCGGGGCGGTGCTCAGCGGGTGAGACCTGGTGTCCACAGCCCCTGCCCCAGAAGGACCCCAGCTGGAGTTACTACTCACCTGATTGCCAGTCACGCTCGACCGGAGTCCTGCGAGTTGCGGGTGGGTCCTGCCCCCACGCCGCACCCCGTGGAGCCTTGCCTGGCCTCCCCTGCTCACCGGCTCCAGAAGCATGTCTCAGCGCACCGCCCAGAGCAGGGGGTCCCGAAGGCAGCCGGAGCCCCCCAGCTGGCAGGGCGTCCCCCACTGTCCCCGCCCCCTCCTGAGCCCAGAGAAGGACCCCCGAGATGGCCAGCCCATCGGACGTTACACAGAACTTCATGTGTGACATGAGCCTGAAGCTCACTCAGGACCTGCGCCTGGTTCTCAGCGGCGGCTGGGGCAGCCCCAGGGCACGGAGAACAGCCCTGGCGGGAGCGGGGTCCTGCAGTCAGCTCCAACCGGACTGGCCTCAGGGGAGCCGGGCGGTCCCTGCATTTACCCCATGGGCCGCTGTTCTTCAAAAGGAAGTAAGAGAGCCCCACCGCATGGCTTTCTCATGCGGCTCCAGGCGAGCGGTGGCCGTCACCCGCTGGACGGCCCGTCACATCATCCCGGGGCTTGTGAAGTTTGCCTGGGACAGGTCCTGGAGCCTCCCGGAGACTCGGAGAGGGCCGTCCCACCGCCTCCCAGACCATCCGGCCCTTGCTTCAAATGCTGTTGCTTCGTGCCCCAAGCGTGGGTCCCGGAGCCGTGCGGCCTGGGGACAGGTGGCCACGTGGCCACGCAGAAACAGCGGGAGCCAGCACAGTCTGCGACTCCTCTGTGGTGGGCCCAGCAGGAACCAAAAACTGGGGGGCGCTCTTTCGGGCCCCCGGGACCTCAGGCAGCAGAGTCCCCACCTTGCCTCAGGGAGCGGCTTGTCCCGGGCTCCACGTCAACGCGGGGCGGCCCTCCTCAGAGCCCAGGGGAGCATCTTCAACAGCTTCCGGAAGGCCTGGGTGTCTCGCAGAGGAACGGTAACCCCGGGCCACGCGGCAGGGGCAGGGCAGGCCTCGTGGCAGGGTGTCGCGCTTGGTCACGCTGGCCCCGCTGCCCGGCACCCTGAGGAGGCACGTCACGAGCGCCCACAGCCGGCCTGGGAGCCGTGTCACCTGCCCACTGGGGACCCCGATCACCAGGCGGCTATGCCCTCATGACAGCCTGCCCTGAACACACAGGCCTTCCTTCTCACTGTGCCTGACAAAGAACCTCAGGCCGGGGCTCAAAACCATGCAGGTGTGTTCTCCCAAGGTTCTGGGACCAGAAGTCCAGAGTCAAGCTGTGGCCGGGACGTGCTCCCTCCCGGGGCTCCGGGGAGGGTCCTCCCCGACTCTCCCAGCCTCCGGTGACCGCCTCCCTGCACCTCGGCCTCTGTCATCCCAAGCCTGCCTCCTGGTGTGTGCTCTTCATCCCATTCCCTCTTCCCACAAGGACACGGGCCATGGGATTAGGGCCACGTGCCCCCGCAGGTGACAAAGAGCTCAAGCCCAAGTCAGAGGGACGGCTCCGGGGCATGGAGCGAGTTTGCAGGGGCCACACTAAGACAGCTCTCAAAACGATTAATGTGGAGACGGCTCTGGAGCCTGCTCCCCTTTCTTCTGGGAGCCTCCCGCAGGCTTGAGCAGGGCTCACCTCCAAAGTCAGAAACTGTCCTTGGGAAGCAGGACTCGCGCCTGACCCACACTGGCTTGACCCTCTCCCTCCAAGGTCCCGAGCCCAAGGAATCCTGGCGGACACAGACTCCCAGCAGCTCCCCGCCCTCCCCCCTGCTCCTGAGCGCCCACCCCGTACCCCTCCCCAGAACCCACAGAGAATGGCCTGTCCAGTGAGCCGAGGACAAGACCGGGGTCACTTGCCAAAATGGCCAGAAGGCCATCAGAGCGGCTCCTCTCTGCGGTGGGAAGGGCAGCCACGGAGCCACACACATTCCACTAGGATAGCACGTCCTCCCAAAGCCAGCGGGCAACAGGCGCTGCCCCAGCAGGTGGAGGTGCAACCAGGTGAGGGTCAGAAGGCTGGTGAGCCACAGCGACAGCTCGCTCCGCAATGCCTTCCGTGGACATGGACAGGCCCGTGAGGAGGTCCCCCCAGTCCTGGCATTAATAGTGCCCCCAAGACCCTGTCCACCTGGAGCCTCAGAAGGTGACCTTGCTGGGAATCGGGTCTTCGCAGGCGTAATTTGTTCAGACCAGATTGCCCACGGGTCAGGTGGGTCCTGACGCAATGACTGGGGTCCTTGTAGGGGGAGGTTAGGACACAGACACACACACAGGGAGGAAGCCCAGGAAAGACGGAGGCAGAGACGGGAGGGACGCATCCACAAGCCCGGGGGCGCCCCGCACATCAGCGGCCCCAGAGCTGGAAGGGACCTGGAACGGAGTCCCCCTCAGAGCCTCAGACCTGGCCCGCTGACAGCTGATCTCAGACGTCTGGGCTCCAGACGGGATAAGCACCTGCCGCTTCAGCCACCTGCCTGTGGTCCTTCAATACGGTAGCCCGGGCGCGGCCACGCTCCGTCTCAGAGACACGCGAGGGGATGCGTTCAGCACCCACAGCATCTCAGGGACACAGCGGGACCTGAAGCCCAGGCGCTCGGCACCCGGCCCGCGCCGGTTGGACCCACCTGCCCGGGGCTGACCTTGTGTCTGTGTGCACTGACGCTTCTCCCCTCCCAGACCCCCGTGACCTCCCGCGAAGGAAACGCCTGCGGTTTCCACCGACAGCACAACCACCGTCCACGTGCTGCCGATGAAGCTGAGGCTTGTTGCCGTGCGTCCTCCCTGCTGGCCATTCTGTGTCCGTGGCCCTGCTGGCTTGGTCACCGTCAGGCAGTGGCTGGCGCTCCTGGCGTCCTGCACGCACGCGGGGCCGCGGGACGGGAGTGGGGACCGCGTGCCCGCTGAGCCTGAGCAGGGCCTGCGAGCGTGTCCTCGCGGGCGGTGGAGTGCCTGTTTCCACATTTCTGTGGCTTATGTTGGTGAGTTCACTGTCGAAAGGGGCCCCCAGCGTGGAGCGGAAGCTGCGCTCCTAAGCCCGCAGAGGCTGCGTGGGCCGGCGGAGGAAATGCGACGCGCGCTTTGCTCAGGCAGAAGACAGCTCTTGGCGGGGGTCGTGGTACTGAGCCAACAGCATAGATTAAATAAGGTGTCTACAAACAGAAACGCATCAAATAAGGCCATCTACTGACCAGTGAACAAAAGTGTGACCCGAGGCTCACAGGAAGCTCGTCGCGTGTCCCCGGGAACCACGGCCCGGCGTCCGCTGATCGGCGCCCACGGGCACTGCGCGAGCACGGTGGCTACAAGGAGGACTGCGTGTGTTCGTGTGTTCACAACGGGACGGAGTGCCGCTCTTCACTAGAGGTCAGGGAAAGCCAGGGTGTGATCCCGGCCCGGGTGGCCGGCCCTGCGGGCTGTAGCCACGCGCCACTGTGCTGGGACGGTCCCGTCCGGCGCTGCCAGGGCCGGTGGGCTGGTGTCTTGTCTGTCTCGCCCGCGAGGCCGTGAACTCAGGCCTGGGAGGGTGACCAGGAGGCCCCCGGACGTGGCGAGCTGAGTTTCCACCGCCAAGGAACAGGGCCTCAAAAGTACACAGGAGTTTAGAACCACGGAGTCCCTTCTCTTGCGTGGCTTCGCCGGTCAGGCGAGGATGCCCCGGTACGCCCTGGGGCTGCACAGAGCTCGGGCCTGAGGCAGAGGTGGGGGGGAGGCAGCGAGGGGCCGCACACTGCAGGCAGCCGGCGGCCACGGGCCTCGCAAAGCTGCCGTGGCCTGAACGAGAGCCGTGGGCCCGGGCTGCCTCCTCCTATTGAGACGAACTGCTTCCCCTGCTGACGGCTAATGCTAATTAGGCTGATGACCTTGGTAAGTCACACAGTTGACTGCTCGGGGACAAAAAGGATGAGAAGCCTTTTTTGTGATTTCTTCTGCTGTTTTAAGCACCCGATAGTCATTTAAAAATTAAATTAAGTGGCTTATCGGTGCTAATTCAAATCAACAGGGCAATCATTCTTCAGTGACTAACTGATAGCGGATGGGCCGGCCACCCTGCGGACATCACTCATCGCTGCTCCACGGAGCCCGGCCCTGCTGTGGGGCTTTGAAGTGATCACTTTCAACCTGGGTCCCTTTCTCCCCAAAAGTACAAGTCGCCTGGGCACCAAGCCTTGTCCTTCGGACCCTCAGAACCCGCCTTCACGGGGGTGTCCAGTGCGTGGTGTCCCCGTGGGCTTGCCCCTGTGTGTCCTCCGCCGGGCGAGTGGGGGGCTCACCGTGGAGACCGCCCCCCTCCCTTCTCTCCTGCTGAGCCCCCACGCCGCTCAGAGGACAGACACAACCTTCACTCACACCTGTCTCACCGCAGAAGCCGCGTGTCCACGTGAAAGAAACAGCACGGCGATCCT